ACTGGGGTCACTCAAACCCCCAGAACTGAGCCTCTACTTTAGTCAATCCTCTTTGCACACCACAATCGATTTTATCAATATATTATTATTTATTTTACACAAGTCTTGTTTTAACAATTACAATTACAAACCAGCGTCGAAGCAATAATTTGTTATGAATTCAATTTTTTACTTACAGAGAGTACAAAAATTAACCTAAATTTGTTATATTGTTTTCCGAATTGACTGCGAGTTCAGGCGAAAGGGAATAATATCTCGAATTAAAGTGCAGAAGTTTGTCAGTATTTTATGACAATTTTTGCAAGTAATTGAAGACTTGAAGAGTCATAAGATGAGCTCAGGTTTCATTTCGGAGACAGAATTGGCAGAGCAAAGGAAAACTCGCCAGGAAGAATGGGATAGAGTGAGAACAGCAGATCAACCAGCTGGTGAAAAATTATTTTGACTTTTATTTGTTATTCGTTTTGGAATATTTGATTGCATTCATTTTTTGGAATTTTCCAGAGGTTCCAGAGGAGAAGTTCGACCATCGGTCGCTTTATGACAGACTCCAGGAGCAGAAAAATAAAAAAGATATGGAGTACGAAGAGGCACACAAGCTCAGTAAGATCCAAATAAAATTTTTGACAATTAATAATTTACTCATGAATAATTAAATAAGTCAATAGTAATTTTTGGTATGCGTGTAGAAAATATGATAAAGGGTCTGGACGATGACGAGGTTGAGTTTCTGGATCTTGTTGATCGTACAAAACTCGAGGAAGAACGAAAGAAACACTTGGAAGAGGAAAAGGAAATGCGTGACTTCAAAGCGAGGGTTGCCTGTTTCCAGGAGAAATCTCTGGACGAGAAATTGAAGCAAGAACTGAAAAAACCACAGAGTACAAATAAAAATATATCAGGGGGAAGTGCCAGGAACTCACAGCATCGATTGTTAGCAGGAGTTGTTGTTAAAAAACAAGATAAATCTCCCCCAGGTAAAATAAAAAATACCCGACGATTTTTTATCGATTAGAATACATTTTTTAATTCATTTCTAAACCCCAGGTGACTCGAAAGGGACTAAAAGAAAGTTATCGGATTCCGAGGAAAACTCAAAGCTCCCGGAAACTTCAAAACCCTCGATATTGCCTGAGAGTACAGTAAACATCTCAAAAGTCCCTCGAAATGAGACGAAAGTCTCCGAGGAGAGGCACAATCCTTCAGCTTTAAAATGCATTGGCATCTTGCCTGGTCTTGGCTCTTACGATGACTCAAGTGATAGTGACAGTTCTGATTCAGATCACGAGCATGATCACGTCCAGTACGATCTCTTAGGGCGAACAATACCAACGACAATGGAAAATAAGAGCTAGAATCTAGTTAGCCGCTGTCTCCCCTTTACAAAGTTCCCGAGAAGAAACTTTGATCAGAAATATATCCATCTTAAATTATTCTATCCAAATATATAATTCGTATTGATAAAATTATTTCGTCAAAACAATTATTTTCAGCTGATGCCCATAAATAATAAATACAGGTATTGTCGAAATTTATTGGTATATTTTAAGCAACAATAAAATAATCTTTTCCATAAATTATCAGTTCTTACTGCTTTTCGATTTTCCACTGCAATTCTATCTTATTAGATCACTGATCTAGTACTTGTTGAACGGAAAAGGTCGTACACACGCTTTTAGCGCACACGCGACATAAATTTATTTCTTTACATTTTCTTCCGAAAGGTCGTAATCAATGCGCCTCTTGGCTGAGGTGCGACAGTTGCTTCAGGAATTGACGTGCATTTACTAGAGTCGTCGAACCGTAGATAACACGTTTATTGGCACCACCTCCAGTCTTTTGCTGATCCGAGAAAGAAGAAAATGATTAGAACAATGATTTCAATTACTTCTAAATTAATTTCATAATTACCCGAACATAATCGACGAGATTTTGATATTCGATGTAATTGCCACCACCAACAACAAATACAATTACATCCTGGAATGTTGTTCGATTTTTGGGGACTTGCTCCACTTGTTTCAACTGCTTTGGATCGAGGTAGTAGTAATCATCAGTATGTGAATTCTGTTTCGACTCTACCAACTCGTCGACGATTTTAGTAACTGGTAGATTGTGTCGTTTCACAACGAGATTTTTCACTCCCTCCATGACAAACGATGAGCCCTGATTCATTAATTTTGAGAACATACTAACAGTTCTTGTTCCACCGCCCTCATAATTACTTTGAATTTCCGATATCCTCGTATAGCTCCTCCATCTTTTGATATGCATAAGAGGATTGAGATCACACCCAGCGTTCGACAATGCAGCCTCGTGTTTGTTGTAATCAGCATCCGACATGTTATTGCATAGATAATAAATGATGAATAATCGAATTTTATCATCGGGCGTTCCACAGTCAGGATCATTGATAATATCCAATATACTCCTGTCCAAGGTCTGCCTGGACATAATTTTCTCTTCAATCTCAAAAAGTGTGTCAAGCCTCCTCGATTTTATGGCATTTAATATCCCAGTAGCAATCGTTGTGTGCATGTCAATTAATCGTTTCATTTCCAGCAATTGGGGTAAAGAGTTGACAGCATTTGTTAGTCGAGCCGTGTTGTTTTGCAGCATGGGATAGGCAGAATCGTCTCCATCAATTCCCATTGAGGACTTGAGTTTCTTCACCTCATCCTCACAAGCTCTGTACTGTTCCAGTTCTTCCTGGATGGCCTCAGCAACCCTAGGAAAAGGGCTACCCTTGTGCTGCAGCCAAAATCGATCACTATTATTTAGCTCACACGCTCTGGTTTTAGCTCTGGCACCTCCAGTAGGTGATTTACCCACGTTCTCCTCTACGACCAGTCGGTTTAACGCCAGCTCCAAGACATCATGAGCAAGAGCTTGATATGTCCAGGTGTGATGCAGAGGCGTCGCCATATCGACACTTCTGTCCAGAACAATTAGCAGAGGTCGTTGGAATGTCAAATGTCCAGTGCCCGTTGCCTCACCCTGGAATAAACTGTTCCTGGTGTCCCACACATTTTCCCTCAATTTCTTATCCAGTTTCATAGCTACCATTCCTGCAGCGTTGCCTCTGGGGCATCGAATGATTGGTACTGTTCCCAATGTCACGAAAATTGAGAATAAACTGTCGACGATGGTGTCCATTATGGACTCCATTTCTGTGTCCTTGATTTCTCCTCGATTGATGGCGTGATACGAGATCGCGTCGCTGTTTTGGTGTCTCAGAATAAATAGGTCGTCTTCTAACGTAATGAAGTTCAGGTATTGGTCGAAAACTTTGTGAATGTTGGCAACTGCTCCAGCCATTAATGCTGCAGATGCGAGGTCCTCCATTTTTCCTCTGGATATCGGGGATATGAAGTTGAGATGGTAAATATCGTAGAGACCATTTTGAAGGTCTTGGCCGATTCGACCGAGATTCTCGTTCGTTGGCGCACAGAAATAAATAGCTGGAACTTCTGGAATTGGGTCTCTGTCTGAATGCAATTGCCTGCAGGTAATCAAATGATGGAAATTTAATGATTAACACGGCTTCTATCAACAAATATTATAAATCATTGAAAATTTAATCCAATCAATATAAAAATATACAAAAACCGAAACATACATATGGAGTGTAACTCCCAGTTCTCTCAACTCCTTTATGGAAATCAAAGGAGAAATTATGTCCTGTCCCATTCTGTCATAAATCAGAATCTTCCAGGTGGGAACTGCTGTGTTGGATTTAGTCTCCCGCTGATTAAGATTCAGCATTTGTCTCAAGGCATCTAAAATAATTCGGAGTAAAGGTAATTAAATCCTGCATAACCTTATCCATATTTTACAACACAAAACTTCGAAATTATTTCAAAGATTAAAAAATGTCCAATGGTGTGACTCACGTATTTGTTTGTCCCTGAGACTGAGCATTTTGATAATTTTCTCTTCGTTTGTACAATCTTATAAGTGAAGAGTGCTATTTATTATTTATTTGGGATAGGAAAAAATATGTGCTGACGTTGGAATTGTGATGTCAACATCCTTTAGGAAAAATGGACTGGTGTCATGGCAGAGAGCATGTAAAAAGTGTGGGCGGTGAGCCGAAGGATGCATTCTCATGTGATCGTTCATGACGGCGGGGTATGCATATATTTGAGTCGATTTTAATCGATTTGCGTCAAGAAGAAACTGAATTCGGCCAATTTCTACTATCTGTTGGGGATGAAACACTAAATATAAATAACTGCGAGATGATTTATACGAGGAGGTGATTAATGAGTAACCATCGAAACATCAATCATAACTTCATCTGCAATCGATAAAGAAGAATAATATTTAACCTTAAAAAGTAACTAAGAACTTCAAATTCTTCACTGTTCACTAAAAATTGGAAGTCATCCGAGCTAGTCGCATCTATCATAATGAAGAGAATTCCAAAAACAAGACAGATCTTTGATAAATTACATCATCTCGTAGTATGGACCTGCATAGGAATCTCAGCTGCTAGTTTCTTGAGCATCTCCTACCTGGGATTCCAATACTACATGTACGTCAAACCGGTAAGGAAAGCTGCGGAATTGAAAGCCAAACAGGAACTTCTGGACGAAGGAGCATCTATGGAAGTAAACGTCCAGGAGCTTACATCGTAATTACGTACATAATTCGTGTAACTAAGTACTCATTAATATTAAGTAATTCCGATGGGCTACTGTCATGTGAACTTGAAGGAGTTAATGTAGAATGAATTAATTGATGTTTATAAATTCAAGTTTAATGTTTCTTCAGTTTGTACAATTTTCAATACATTTATTCGTATGTATTTCTCCTGCGGTTAATTAATAAAACCAATGATGAACGAATACTTGTAATGGAAGGAAGAAGAGTGATTGGTTCAATTTTTTTGGATGGAATGATTTTCGAGGAGGAATGAGATAAAAATCGTCGAACACAACAGAATTTCAAAGTTGTGGAGAATTGAGGGAGGTTTTAAAAAATGTACACATTTGTTATTTACCTGTATATGTTCTTAACCGAATAATCATTCTTGAGTTTGTACAAAGCTTCATCTATAAATATAAAGAGTTTCTCATTCCCCTCACACTAAATAATAGAAACGAAATTTAAGTAAGAGTCGCATGATTCGAGTCAATTTCTTCAGACGAGAAATAAACGATTCAATAGACCTGGCAGTTGGTATTTTTACAATTAATTAATTACCCTTAATCTATCTCTTGATTAAACGATTATCGTATCATTATCGCGGTAATATCAAAAATTTTATCTGTAATTGCACAAGGTGTTCTATCACTTAATATTAAGGAGAACATATGTACACCGTTTTTTATTATTCCGTTTGTTCGATTATGTTCCTGTTCTTTAAACATAGAAAAATGCAAAGAGAAAGTATTGAATGACAATGGATAGTAGTACGTCTATTTTCATAATCAAATTACGAATGATTTTTCGTACGTTGCTAATTTCTATTTATTCTAATAGCAATATTTACAGATGTGATTGATCAATTTTCTCTCGTAAAAAAAAGAAGAAAGATGCAATGGTTTTACCACTCTCAGTTCGTTTTCTGTCGATGAATCACCCTGAGACACAAAAAAACGAAAGGTAGATAAATATTTCGAATTGAAAAATTTTTTTTTTCCATTTGCATAGTCAAATGAGATGTTTCAAGTTATCTCGTAAACATTCAGGAACTATTAGACGTTGGCGACAGGCTAATATTGGTGTCAATTCTCATGGAGTCAATTTTAGCCACGATTTTTAATGCTGGACCGAGTTTTATACTCATTGCAGACATTAAGTGATCCTCTTTTAGTAGCATAAGAGCTTGACCATCGATTTCTTGAATTGCAAAGTCTTCGGCGTAGTCTGCACATCCTGGAAGATTTCTGATAAAATCACAAACTTCGTTGACCTGAAAAAAATATTTTCATTTCATTAATACAGTCCCGATAATTATATTTATCAAATAATAATTTCAATTGCATTTCAATGCAATGTATTGATATATGATATGATAAAAAAAATATTTACCGTCCACTTGACTGGATTGATCCTTGGAATATCTTCGCTCGTGGGAGTGGAAGCAGCTGGAGAGCTGTCCTCCGCCTTTTTCAATCCATCATCAGTCTTCTTGTCGACTTCCATATTCGTCCACTGTTTATCAGGCTCTCGTTCTCTTGCTTCTTTCTTTTTATTCTTAGCGCAAACTGACGAACAAAATCGTTTATCTTTCTTAAACTTGATGTTATGTTCGTCAAGGATTATTCCACAAGTTTCGCATTTTCCACTGGTGCCATTCGAATCTACATCGTTGGAGAAATTTCCCGCGTGTTTCTTTCCTGCAATTAATAAAGCCATCAATTAGTACTACGATAAGAATGAAAATATGTAGATATAGAGATAGACGAAAGTGAAAACAGTACTTTTCTTACTTGGCGGTTCATTGTGGGAATCTTTGTCACTAGATTGTTTTGAATTCAATACTGATGTTCCCTGCGTACCATTCAACCGCTTCTCTGAGAATGGCTCATCCGCTGAAGACAAATAATAATATATAGAATTTATGATTCATTACTGAATGGTACCTTTTTTTTTTGTAACTCACCTTCTTGGATGACGAAGCCCTCAATAACATGCGTTAGGACCTGAGGCTTCACGAGAGCCTTAGGTGGTGCCTGTTTACTGTTAATTGAAACTGGCGTCGTCGCCGACGGAGCCGGTATCTCATCTGTGACTCCATTTGTTATTGAATTTACTGTATTCGCGAGGTTTGCAAGAGGATTGTTGGCTTTTTCATCATTCTTCCCAGATAATTGTATTTCCTCCTTTGCTGCAACTTTGTCTCCTTCAGGTTCTAGAGTTTCAAGTTGTAAATTATAAAAAACTAGGCCTGCTTCTTATAAAATATATTTTTAAAGGTAAGAGTCAGAGAATATTTGAGCATAAATTTTTTCAATAATATTTACCCTGTGTTTGTGCTGGGGTGCCTGATCTTTCTTTATTGACAGTAGCTTCCTTCTTCTGTACTGATTTATCCTCTTCTGTCGTCGTATTGCTAACACTACACTGTTGTACAATCTGTGGACAATCGTTTGGCTGACTTCTGTCTGGCGATGCAGAAATGACCATGGGTGTTATGTTTGCATTCTCTTGTTGCTGCGGTTGTGGCTCATTTGATTGCTGTATCATCGGTAGTGTCTGAATCTGGGAGCCGCCACTCACCACTTGATTTCCAATTATCGTGGGATTCAGGGTCTGCAAGGATCCATTTTCATAATCAGAGTTATCATAAAATCATTGAATAAATATACAAAAAAATCTGATTTAATAATTACAGGAATAGGTAATTGCTGGACTCCCTGCATCTGAGACTGTTGGACTTGATTCATTTGCAATGTTGTTGCAACACCAACACCAACACCTCCCATCGATACCACTGGCATTATGGGTCTCTCTGTTCCAAGGACGACTCCAGATTGTTGAGGTGGAAGTGCCATTCCTGAATGATAACATCATAATTAATCCATTGGGTTCAATAAATGAGAAATCATGAAGATATTGAAGGAAAAAAAAAAATGAGATATACCCATAATTGGTTTGGGCTGTATTTGTTGCTGTGAATTCTGGGATTGTGCCTGCTGGTACTGTAATTGCTGATGCTGAATGTGTTGCATCTGTTGCATAAACATCTGCTGATACTGGGGTTGCATTTGTTGTCCCTGCTGCTGTTGTGCCTGATGCTGCTGTTGTGATTGCATTACTGTTTTGTTTTGTTGTCCAAAGTTTTGCTTGTCAGAGGTGGTCATAGGTGAGCCAGGTGGTTGCGCAGAAGTTACCACTGGTTGATTCGTTGTTATTAATACTTTGTTATTTCCATTATTGCCGGTTGCATTGGTCTGCTGTTGCAACATCATTGTAGCATGATGCACAATTGATTTCGTTTGATTTGCAGCGTCAGCTTTTGTTGCTATTTGGGATGAATTTGTACCGGGACTTGTGCGAACCACCGGCTTACCACGGCCTTTACCACCACTTCCACTTCCCTTGCCACTCTGAATTGAACAAAAAAAAATCCCATGGAACAAATTCTATTTTCAAATTAATCTCTTTATAATTGAATAAACTGATAAAAAATCATGAAAATAAATGAGAAAATAATGAGAATATTCTAGCTATGTGGTGGGTCGCAAAGTGGTACTTTTTTCTCTCTCTAAATGTGTTGTTTATCGATTCAATATATAATCAATGAAAAATAGATAAATCATGGAATGAAATTTAAACGCAATAAAAACCCCAAAGTAATAGTGCCCGGTTTTCATGAATAGTGACCTGTGTCTGTACCGTTGATTGTACTCCATGAACTGTTTGCGTTGATACTGAACTCGCTGGTCTGATGTTGGCACCCTGAACTCCTTGGAGGGAAGACGGTAGAATACTCAAGGGACGCTGACTGGTACCACTTTGCTTGCCACTCTGCTGGGATTGTTGCTGAATATCCATTACCCTGGGTTTTGTGCCAGCTGCAGCGATTTGTTGAACACCTTGGATTTGTTGCTGAGTTGCCAGAGCTAAAATATCATTTTTAAACTTTTATCCAAAAATCCAATTGACATCATCGGAGAATTGAAAGTTGTGAGATAAAATGAGATTAATAACCATTATGCGTTTGAATAGGTTGTGGACTCTGAATATACATATCGGGCTGAGTAGGACTCCTGATGAAAATCTGATTAGGAGCAGCTAACAAAGTAGTCCCAGGTGGCTGAATTCCCGTCCAAGCCACTTGTGGAGTGAACTGCCACGGTGCAAACTGCATCTGTCCCCCACGTTGTCCAGAGGGTGCACCAGTAGCACAAGTAGTATACTAAATGCAATAATGAAATATAAACACCGATACCCCTCGTCAAACTGTCAAAACACCAATTATAAGACTGTTACTTTTTGTACTTGATCAGGTTTGTTGTTATTCGGTTGCTGTTGCTGCTGTTGCTGTAACCCTTGAGGTGGCTGTGGAGAGCCAAGTACTCCAAGCTGTCCAAATACAAGAGTCTGTCCTCCACCAGGATTAGCAGATGTAGGCACGGGCAGATATCCAGCTGGAAATCCCTGAACTTTACCGCCAGGACCACCATGTCCTCCTGTCTGTCCGGGATTAGAGGCAGTGGTGAGCATATGTGGTGTCAATTGTCCAGCTGATTGAAAAGGTTTGCCAGCAGCTATCACTTGGATCGACGAGGGATTGATACCAGCAGGATGTAGAGCAAGATTTCCAGGCATTAGGAGAGGTGTACCCTGAGTATTATACAGCTGTTGAAGATGATAAGCCTGACTCTGCATTGGCTGTTGAATAACTTGGACAGCTTGAGGATGTGCAGCCATCGTGGTGATTGTTGTTGCACCCTGTTGTCCAGCTAATGCCATTGAAACACTACCAACACCTTGCTGCTGTTGATGCTGCATCGATACCGCCACAGCACCCTGTAACTGATTTTTATTTATTTCCCTCCAGTTCTGCTGTTGCTGATGCCCAGAAGATGGCCGAGGGGCGATATATACCTGCTGCGGCATACTCGCTGCTACTTGATTCTGCACCTGTACCTGCTGAACATTGTGCTGTGGATTGTTTTGATTTGGCTGCTGTTGCTGGCTCTGTTGGGACGATTGTACTTGTATCTGCTGCTGCTGAATCTGGCCCTGACTCACTTGTTGATTCTGACTCTGCTGCTGCTCCTGATTTGGCTGAACATGCTGTTCTTGAACGTTTTGCTGTTGCTGAGACATTTCTATTTGTTTTGTCGCAACAGCCATTTCACAGTTAACAAAAAAGGAAGGAAATGGTTAACAACAGTTTTTAAACTGCTGGAGATTATTAATCTAATCCACGTTCCATTTTTTTTTCCTCAAAATTCTTTCCTAGATATCTTCATTTTTTTTTTGTCTAGCGCTGCTGCATGGAATTTCTTGATCTGAAAAATATAATTGGTAGGTTTATTTTTTAGTAATCAGGAAGAGCTGTCAGAGGTCATTAAAGTGCTTACTTTTGCGTCAGACTTGTTATTACGATTTTGCTTTTTCATCGTCTTATCGAGTTGTCTCAACTCGTTAGATAAGACAATGCACTTTGATAAAAATTTGATCCTACCCGCCTGTATGTAACCTAGAATGATTTTATTACTCCTGATTCACGCGTCACCAGTGGATGTTTGTGGTACAGTGCTTTTGTTATCTCTGGGGCGTTGGTGCTTGCTCTCATCAAATTTCGAGGTATTATAAAATATTGATGCTTTTTCTAAAGAGGCTATTAAATAGTCAACGGTCAGTGTCATTCATTTGCAGTTATTCCCCGAGGATAACAATTTTTAGTGAAATTTTATAATTACTAGTAGAAAAATGCGAGTGATCGAGTTGAAAATATTTTGATTACTCCGATTGTGAAGCACTTAAAAAATCATACAAGATGAAGTACACGCGTGAGGTAAAATACTTGTCTATTGTTTGGCAACAAATTGGCTTTCTTCTTTTTTTTCGTACTAAAACTATCTAACCTATAACGTAACTAAAAGCGTCACATTGAGAGCCCCTGCTATTCATTTATGGATGGTTATGGCATGGGGTTTTCAGCTGTACATATTATTTTTATCCTGTCATAAAAAAAAAATCCAAAATACGAAGAAAATGAGAATTGAAAATGGAACGAAAAATGTGACGAGGAGACTGACCAAAGAATTTAGATAAGAGGAGTAACAGAGCATAACAAATAAAATAGGTCATGAAAATTATAAGGACTCCACATAAAGAAAAAATACATTTTGATGCTGCGGTATTACTCATACGCTATCATTGGTAGTCCTGAAACCATTGAAATTATAATCTAACACCGAAATCAGTTGAGAACACCGACGAGGAGACTTGGTATTATTTGCCGGCGAAATTCCAAGGTTGAGGGTAAAACGATACGTGCTGACCATTTTTCCAGCTGAAAGGGTCGTCGATACTACAATAAACTCGACTTTCCAAGAAGAGAGAAATTCAACCGATAAATGAATACAGAGACCCGAAGAAAGTGCCGCGATATCCATTTTGGAGGCGTTGAGGAACAAAATGTCTTCTCGAGTCAACCATAATTACCGTAACGTTAGGTCAGCGGGGAAAGCAATATATAAAGGGAGAGAGAAAAAAAAAAAGGGAGTGTAAGAGAGATAGAATCTGGTAACCGAACTCCTAGGGTTGTTGGACGAAGGGGGCTTCCCCTACTGTAAATTTTTTCGCTCTCGGGGACGTGTATTTTCCCCCTCTGCAATACACAAGCCCAGGGCGGAGAAGATGAAAGCTGTAATGGGGGACTCGGCTAGAGGGGGAATTTGCAAAACCAAATGTACGGGGAGAAACGAGGCTGGAGCTATTGAGTTCCACCATAGTCTGTGTTACTCGTACTAAAAATGGAGAGATACAGGAATGGAAAATGCGGGGGAAAAATGGTGGGAGAGGGAGAGAAGAAAAACGGGGGAATCTGATGGATCCTGACAACATGGATGAATAACAATAATAAAATTTCAATAATATCGAGTACGTGATGTTTCTTTGGTGAGCCCATGTCTTGCTCCAATGTGAGGAAGAGAGGGAGAAAGAGGTATCTATATACATTATGTATATGTATATATATACAAGAACGGAGAGAGGGAAAGAGGTGGAATATGGGGAGAAGAGGGGAAGAAGCGAGGAGGGTAAAGGGGGAGTGAGGGAGAAATGTGTGGAAAAAGAGCCCAGAGGGGAGAAGAGAGGGATGGAACACATCAGACCTGTGCAGTACAACTATTCCAGGTCTTTCTCCCACTCTGTCCCACTCTCAACATTTCCCAACCCAAGATCTCTCTTTTCTCTTCCCACCTTCACTCTCCCCATCATACTCTCTCCATCATCACGCCGGACTAACGAGTTTACATCGAACAACCCAAAAAGAAAAAAAAGAAAACATTGACGTTATAATATCTTGAATAAATACTTACATGACGACTGCGCAGTCACCTAAGCACGTTTTAAATCACGCTGCAAAAAGAGACAGATAGAGGGGCAGGAGTAAATACCCAATGCAATTCAAGCATCGCTTCACAACCACACATACACACATGAAACACCAATGCACGATAAATTGTACTTGTCTTCACTCCAGTCGAGTGACGTTCATTTTTAAAACAATATTCACAAATGCGTATTCACGATAAATGTCTGATTACCACGGATTGGGTATAAAAAGTCTCATTACCACAGGTTGGGTAGAAAAATAACTTGGAACAAGGTTAAGTTGACGCGGGACAACGTTGAGTGAACATTGGCAGAGTACTGGTTTTGTCTGCCTCCCGAGGCTGATCCCCAACATTCGGAGTGAATTACGCCCCTCGTCCCTCTTTGCCCCCCACCACATCACCCAATCCGGCAGAACTTTTTCTATCTGTATATTTCGTATTTTCCCCCCCACTGTATCCACATGGCGATGGTATTGTTAACCACGGGTTGGTGCTACCCCGCGTTACCCCACTGCTTGCCTCGTCATTGCTGTAATAACAGTCGGGGTATCCCATTGGCTAGGAGCCGACAAATCCCAGAGGCATCGGTTGACGGTGTCATAGGCGGAGCTTATGGATTGCCCAAGGCATTCGGCGCATGCTCTTCTTACTCTAGTGTATTTTCACTAATACATGATGAGAATGGGAGCCATTCAATCGTTACCAACCCGACCCACAGCCTGTATGCTTTCCCCCCTTTTTTCTCTTCTTTCCTCTCTCCTTTTTTTTACCTTCTTTTTATTTGTACTCTTCGCTATCCCCTCTTTCGTCTGGTCGTAATTCTTTTTTTTTCAGCTCTCGGATTCCGTGGTCGTGGTGTAGCTCTACCCGATGCCGCCAGACCCGTAGATACTTTTGGGGAGATTAGTCGAGATTTTGCATTTTGGAGATAATTTTTGGAATTTGGTCGGGGGAATTTTTGGAACTTCTGGGGTGGCGGGGGGGTACTGATTGATGAGGGGGGTGGGAGCGGTGAGGGGAGGGTTTAATTGAGGGTTTGATTGCGGAATTTGAGAGGGTCCTGGGGATTATTGTACGCCCCTGGATGCTCAGATCGATCAGGGGTGCAACAGGATTTGGTTCCTATCGGGGGGTGTATGTTTTTATTATTTGTTTATAATCGAGTTCTTAATTTATCGTTAATTAAAAATGAGGTGGTAATTGGGGTAACTAGGTGCAGTAGGTAGGAATAGATTTGATAATTTTTTGAATTGCCAATAAAAGAGGGATTTATTAAATAATATTATGGGGTATTCACCGGTGGGATCATGCAATTTTTCATGGGTGTTAATTTTTCGTAAAATTCGTGGGAATATTCTGGTATTTATTTCGGAGTCGAAATATTCGAAACAATTTAATCCCAGAAAATTCATACGGCCCTGGCACAGCTGTCTGGCCGCCACGTTACACTCTCTAGGTCTCGCACACAATCACAACAAAGACAGAAACCATCCGAGCCATCTCCAGTGAATTGAGTGGTAGATCCTCTCACCAAAACATCCTCAGCCTATCCAATCAAGGGGTGGTAGCGACAGGAAATCACAATCAATTCCTCTCTCTCTCAAAAAAACCTGACCCCTCCAAAAATCACTTCTCAAAACCAAAGACCCCCATTTCCCCTCAAAATTAACCCACAATTAAACATCTCTACCCCAACTCCCATAATTTCCAAAATTCCTTTCATTCCTCGAATTAAATTTTCCATTAAACCTCATACACCAACAAATAAAAATTCTGACCCCTCAAAAAGAAAAAAAACAAAATGTCGAACGTAAGCAATGGATTCTGATTTCTAGTGCAAACTCATCTGATTGACCAACCGTATTGCCCATCATCCACATCCTCTATATAATACCCATAAAACCACCTATCATTTGTGTTCCAACACCAACACTCCAGTGAAATGTCAGCCGCAATGGCGGGGGGTAGAGAGCGAGAGGGGGCGGTAGAGTGGGGCTCCAGAGGGTCATGGGGGGGGGAGAGAATTGAAACAGCCAATGGGTTAAAGCCTCGAGGGTTGCCAAGGAGACGAGTGTACGATTCGAGCTGCCACTGAGGAATTGGCTCGGTTCTTACATTACCTTTGCGCATGCGTGATTCAAAAGCGAATGGTCAAACGAGTGAGAACGAGCGATTTATTAATAGAACAAAATGTGCGTGCGTTGAATACCCAGGAAATGGTAGTATGTGTGTGTGCATGTGCTCGCGCACATTTATTAGACCTCCAATTGCCTCTCCCCCTCGCTCCCCTCTCCTTCTTTTTGGCCTGTTCACCCCCTCGCCCCCTCGACCCCTCGCCGCCTCGACCCCTCGCCCCCTCAACTCCTGGCTCACTCGCTCTCTCCCTCCCCTTCCCATTCCCCTTCCCCGCCCCACCCCACGACCCCTTTCTCTACTTTTATTACAACACCAACGGGTCAGATAGGAAAAGGCCGTTGTGTTCCATCCAGAGAGAACTGTTCACGATTGGTTTCCTCATCTTCCTCATCCCCTCCATATCCTCTCCCACCCGATCATTATTCCCCTCCAATCTCTCTGTCGAATATACTCGATCTCTCTCTATCTCTCTCTGTCTACTTGTCTTTGGCGCAATGCTCGTTATTTTGGAACAACTCCTTCACCCTTGACTTCCTCCGCCCTTAACCTGCACCATCTGCTGATTATGGAAATTCTTTATTTATTTCACCATTGGTGAGTTTTGGGGGGGCACTGGTGGAGCCTCTCCCACCCCCTTTTTATAGTACATGTCAATTGATGAAAATTAATGACAGCAGGTTATGAAGAGATGACGATGTTTGTGAAGGTTTTGTTATCGTGGGTATTCTCAGATATTTGGAGGATTCAATGGAATTAGGATGAATTGTTTTATTTGTTGGACAGGTACCTGTTGTGACTGCATGTGTAATGATTATGTAATTGAAAATTATTATTGTCTTCTTCGAATAGAAGGCGATAAATATTGACAACTGGGTTATGATGGCTTTTGAAAATAATTATTTGTGTTGTAACTAATTAATTAAGTATGGGATGATGTGAAAAATTGAATATTAGTTTTTAGTTGTATGTAATATTAGTTGTAAAATAAAAAATGGTGGGAGATTTTGGAAGATAGTTTGACAAAATTATCGATTAGAAATGCAAATACAAGGTAAGACACAGTTTATTTTATGAGGAGTGAGATAACCGGAGTGATAAAATGTATTCGAGGTGTGATAAGGAGAAGATCGACGAAAATACTGACGAATGACCGGCAAGCAACTCCTCGAAAAAATGAGAGTTCATCAAGGTATGACGGGCGTTATCAGCAGATACGAAAGAAGAATTATATCTCAGGTACCACTCGGTAGATTGTGTCTATCAACAATACCAGCCATTATATTATATAAATTCACATACCAAATTTCAACAAAAAACTTCCATTTTCGCTTCTACCTGAGATTTTTGGGATTGCAACAAATACATTTGTATCAGACCATTAATTTACCAGGACTTGGAAAAACGATGGGGAAAAGATTTAAACAATTTTTATATTTTTCTGCTTTTGTATTTTTTACTTCGAGATGAAAGCCTGTAATCGTCCATTTTTACGATCACGTAATTTCACTTGCAGATTACGTGGAATTCCATGAAACGCGGAGATACGATTTTTTTATTTAGTTTATATAATTAAATAAAGTTTAATTATCTCTTGTGTAATAAACAAATTTGACAGGACAAACGGTTGTCGTCTCGAGAAATAATTAATAACAATAAACGACAGGCGTCACCTTAATCTCACGAATATTACGAGCGTTAAGATAATAATTTAATTATATGTAAGAATTTTTATTTATTTAACCGGAGCGATAATTGGGAATATGGAGTCATACCGATTATTGTTTCCACAGTGAGAGTACGATTTCCTTTTTGTATGAAAATTTCTGGAGAACGATTTTCTCTTTTCATTTAAAAAGTACAGGATTATTTGCAATTATTATTACAATAATACGCGGCTCGATCCATCTAAATTGTACGTCATAAACAATTTTCAGGGTTCACTCGAAAAAACCATTAGTTCTGAAAAATATTGGAGCGAACTTCCGGTCAGTTTGTTATTATTATCATTATCCCAAAAAATTTCAGAAATAATAATTCTCAGGAACAGGATCTGCTACCGATCTCTCCGAAAATAATTGTTAATGAAATTACAAACAATTGCATTTGGAGTTGCATTTGAACTCCAACGAATAAGATTAACCTTTTGTTTATTTAATGTTTATATTTTCTCAACTGATACATAAAACCCACACTATTAATCTTTAACGAATAAATCCCAAAAGTCAAAATTCTTTTCGATTGATTTCCCGATTTTTCCGATGAAGAAAACCGATCAAGAAATATAATAAATTTCAGTTGTAAACGCGGGGATTTTTTTTAGTCCTCGTTTTCCTCTTCCGTTGATCTTCCTGGTGAAAATAAATAATAATAAATAAATACGAACAAGAGATTATTTCAATAAAATATATTTTTGATCAATTCATGAATTTTGTTTTTAATTTAAATGGCGGAGCTAATTCCTCTGCGAATTACCTAAACAATTACCCCCAAGTACTATAATTATATCAGCCGTTCTATTATTTACTCTTTCCCCTATCATTTTTTAAATAATTGCTCGCGTTTTATTTCATGGAGGAAATCGATGACGCGCCAGGCGCGCGGGATTTGAATTTTATCCCAGTCGATACACCAGATAACGTCTTACCAAAGTTGCGATATCATGATTTTATTCCATAAATATTCCCAATATTGTTAATTCAATAGCGCAAATGTCGAGATATTGAGGGGAATGAAGTGATAAATTACCAGAAACTACTGGACCAATAGCGCGGCAATCCTGTCCAAATTTTCTCCCAATCATGTCGCGAAAATTTCGATTTCTAGTTTCAATTCCACGATTTTTCTCAAATGAATAATAATTCTCAGAAAAATAGACACTCGCGCGACATCCACAATTTATTTAGAGTCTTAAATTTCTATCCACTCCAATAAAAATCATAAAATCGTCTGAGTAGTAAATTATAAAAATTCAATCGGCAAGTGAAAAGATCGATTCACCGCGATTTCCATTAAAAACCGTAAAAAATCCAAAAATCACCCAAAAAATTCAATTAAAAAATAAATATTCAGAAAACGATTCCCAATTTTCAAATGAACTTAACCAACCGATTAATAGAAATAAAAGAATTCAGAATATATAACTAAATTTATTAACTTTTGTTTCATCAAAAATATTTGCGAAGCCAAAAAAAAATGGTAGACATTCATTACCTTGAGGGGATTTCTTTGGGGGGAGGGAAGGGGGCAGACCCAGTGGGCATTTCCTTCAATATATATGTACTTATGTATATAATGCTATAATATTCCACTCCCCGCGTAAATAATGGCAAAATGTGCCAATGGCATTCCATGACTGTTAATGCAGAGATGATGGCTGATAAAAAATAATAAAAAGGTGAGGCAGGTGATAAGATAATAGAATTAATAGGCGTTGAAAGGTAAGGCATTGGCAAATGGAATGAGTGATAAGAAATAGTGCGCGCGCCGTTGTCAGCCGTTGAACCGGAGTTGCGCTTGCATCATTCTCTCGTTTCCTATATGCAATACTACTGCAACTCACCTAGCTTCACCTCACCGAGGAAGTTCAATGCTTACACAGAATTTTACCCCATCCTAGAAAGAAATTCAGAAAGAAAACCGGTGAAATCCCCAGCGAAATGCCTCATAATAAATTCAGTAGCCAAATAGGATAATTTTCGAGGCGAGTTTTTAGGTGATTACTCGGGACTGGAGGGGTATAGCGATTTTTTTGCCAAGAAATTTTTCATAGAGAAAGATGAGAGGTGGAAAAGAGGTACCTATGAAAATATCTGTATCTTTCTTCAATCTCGAGAAATCAGCAAAAAACTGCTCAACCGAATGAATTCCAGAAAATTGTTGAATTCTCTAATTTCCCTGAAAATCCCGTAAAATCCCGGAAAATCTTTTGCAATAATAGATTTTTTATGATCCAAAAATTCGCCATTAATTTTTGTACTGGAAAAAAATGTAATCTTAATTTTTTTACTATTTTTGCAATAACAGCATTATAATATGAATGAAAATGCTTTCCGTCATGAGGCGCATGTTTTTCTCTTTCTCTTCTGCATTTTTACTGTAGAATTATGAAGGGCTGGGGATGAATAATCCTGATGTTGTTGGGATACAGGAAAGGAACACAACCGATCGTTCAAATGCTGTCCAGAAGGATTTTCACTATTACCCGGGGTAAGAGAATGAGATTTGCCTCTACGTCCGCAGAATGTGAACTGACGTCGGTCAGGTACAAGATAGAACGTGGGCCTTACGCAGAAATAGCAAATCATCATGTGGATTACTTCCGGGGACTCCTGGGGAATCGAATCCTTACCGATCCAGAGGAGTGCAATGGATATAACATCGATTGGATTAAAACGGTTAGAGGTACATTGCTTCGATCATTTTCAGAATCGATTATCCCATTTCTCTTATTTGTAATTCGATAGGCGTACAGTAATGTCTGTCCAGTAATTACAGAGAATTTTTAATCCTCCGAGGATTTCATTGTATTGAATAAAAATTGAAAAAGGGGGAGTGAAGGGGAAATGTTTTCAATCGGAGAAAAAATTTGTTTCCACCGATTGCCGAATGCCCGGCGTTATCTCGATTTCATCCTCCAATGACTTGACATAAAGCCATAAATTCCAGGAAACAGCCGTTTAGTTCTGAAACCAAAGAGCTCCGAGGAAATTTCTGAAATCCTCGGATACTGCAATGCCAATGAACTCGCAGTTTGTCCACAGAGCGGTAATACCGGTCTCGTAGGTGGAAGTGTTCCCGTCTTCGACGAGATCGTTATTTCCATGAAGTCGATGAATAAGATTATATCGACGAATGAGCTATCAGGTAAGACAGAACCGCCCAATCATAATCCGTGGATTGCTAATAATGAGTGCAAGTGATCGAACAGAAGAAAATAAATTGAGAATTTAGGATAATCGGGGAGAATCCACGATTCTTCATTTTTTGATTTCATCGATTTCAAGGTGTGATAACCTGCGAGGCCGGTTGTGTCCTGGAGGACCTGGACAACCACCTGGAGGACTATGGCCTGATGATGCCGATAGACCTAGGTGCCAAAGGTAGTTGTCTCATCGGTGGAAACATCGCGACAAATGCTGGTGGAACTCGATTACTTCGATACGGAAATCTGCACAATGCTGTACTAGGACTGGAAGCAGTGAGTGCTATTAAAAAAATTTAAAGATCTCGAATTATTTCACCTTGTGTAGGTCACAGCTGATGGAACAATCATCGACTGCATGAACACCCTGAAGAAGGACAACACCGGTTATCACCTGAAGAATTTATTCATCGGATCAGAAGGAACTCTAGGTGTCATAACCAAAGTGGCGATTCAGTGTCCAACACGTCCGAAGGCTGTGAACCTCGCGTTTTTGGGTCTCGACGATTTCGGGAATGTTCTGAAGACTTACAGCCTCGCCAAGGAGGAACTTGGTGAAGTTCTGTCAGCCTGCGAGATGATGGATGATCAAGCCATGGGAATTAGTGTCGATATGATGGGATTGAGGAATCCTTTGGGGTCTAGAAATAAATTTTATATGTTGATCGAGACTTCTGGCAGCAATAAGACTCATGATGAAGAAAAACTCAGTTCGTTTATTGAGAAAGCCATGAACAAACAATTCGTTCTGGATGGCACACTGACCGGTGATCCCACGAAGATGCAGGTGAATTTAATGGAGTAATTTATTTAATTGGGTTTATTAAATAGATAAATTCTGGAGTTCTTGATGATTAATTTGGGAAAATTGGATGATGGGCGTTGGAACGTTCGTGATTTTGGGATGAGAGCAGCTAGAAGAGATGGGCGATGCGGTTTTCCAATAAATTCGCGTTTGTTATCTAAATAATCTCCAGGACGTACTCCCAGTCGCAATAAATGGCGGACGTGACTAGAGACAAATTTACGCGGCTCCGGGGCATTAGCTGTAAATCTAATTGCAGTGTAGAATTTATTATCCTTTCATAAAACATTTTTGAAAAATAATAAATACTTGTGAGACATCTATTCTGCATTAACAAATAAAAACATTGGATTCATCTAGTTTTTTTTACAATTCTGAATTAATGAAGTTGATATTCGTACTTGAGGTAGACAATTAGCGATATTAATTTAATTAATAATAAAGTAGGGGGAAGGTGCGAATTACTGCATATTGTTGCTATATTGAAATGACCGAGAAATTCGCTGGGAACAATTATCAATACTTGATCTTTCAATATAGGGAAAGAAAACCCATTGACCTATTTTCACCCTTTTATAGCACATATGGGCGGTGAGGGAGCGGTTGGGAGAGGGATGCCTCCTGGACGGATACTGCTTTAAATATGATGTATCTCTACCCCTTCCGCACTTCTACAATCTCATAAATGCGTTGGAGAAGCGATTGGACATGTCACGAGTAGTTAGAATCTCAGGATTTGGACACTTGGGTGAATTTTAACTTCAAGTCATCAAAACTCACGAATCATTTTGAATAATAATCACTTCTTTATTTAAAACCATTAATGAATGAATGAATGAGTGAGTGAATGCATTGATTAATGATTTTAAACGAAGATAGTCAATTAATTCGTTAATTGATCAACTGGTTCCTCGCAAGACACATGCACAGTCTTAAATAATAATATAAATAAATTGTGAACATGTCGTAATTCCAATTTCTCAGGTGATGGTAATCTCCACGTGGTAGTGGCAACCCCTAATTACGATCCAACCATCGAAGCATTACTGGAGCCATTCCTCTTTCAATACGTGTCGGAGCAAAAAGGTAGTGTCAGTGCTGAGCATGGAATTGGATTCAAGAAGACAAAGTATTTGTCCTACAGCAAGCATCAGTCTGCCATTGATCTCATGCGTCAGATTAAAAAAGCTATGGATCCAAATAGTATCCTGAATCCGTACAAATTACTGCCTAATTAAAAGGAATTGTCCTTTCCTGATTAATGAATCCTCAGCTCAATACTCTAACAATACTCTAATGATGATCTAACAATAATATCTCCTGGTGATGTTTTATATTTTTTAAGGGCTGACAAATTTCGTAGAATGCTAAATCGTTTGTTTGGGTTTGTGATGTGTTTTATTGTTGTTTTGATTAATTGAAATAATGGGATCAAGCCGATGGTCCCCCCCCCCCCACTGGAAAGCCTCGTCAGGTAGACTTCAATTGTAACCACGGTTGCTGGAGGATAGGAGTGTTGCGTAATCGATAAAACGTGTACCCCTCGCACTGTATTTGTGTCGATGTATATGTGAGTCCCTTTCACCCCTCCACCACCTCTTCCCCACATTTTGTATTGCCTCCCCTTCACTTCTTCTTTCCCCTTGCGGTTATTTTTCATGTACAAAAGCTGTTTTCGAAAAATAACACACTTCACATGTTATGTCATAAACCCCGAAAATATCAATTAATATTTCGCTCATTATGTTTTGCATTACGAGTTCATTAAGGAGCAGCTAAAATTGAAGGCGAAGTTATCAATTTGCCTCGTGGATAAATTATTTCTGGGAATTATAGAATTAATATGGAATGTAGAAGTTTAATTACGTGTTAATTAACATAAAATTTTGACCTGTAAGTGTAATTGTTATTGAAAATAAAATTGGATGTTATATTCTGTGGTTGTATTTTATTTTACCAATGAGTCAGAAATGGAATTCAATGTAATATTTTGTTTTTTAATAATTTTTGTGAGACGCACAATCAAATTAACGCACATAAATAAACAATTTTACAGTTCTCCAGAAATTTACAAAGAAAATCGAAAAAATATCGGCAATAAGTCGTTAAAGCATTCACTTTATAAAAGTATAAAGTCTATATATATATGAAATATATATATATAAAGATACATATGAATATGAAAAAGGGGGAGGGAGCCAATCAGAATGCGATTTCCAGGTGGATGGGATTAGCTACATTCCCACTGGGTTATGGAATACGAGGAGGGAATGAATAAGTCACACAGTCTTCATTCACTGGTGAAATCAAAAATATATTATCTCGTCAATACAAGAGATATGTTACCGATGTGCAGGAAGTGGGGCGACCATGCACTAGTGAAATACCAGAGCGGAGACAGGAGCAGGGGCTCTACATTTCCAACAATCCCAAAATATTCTGTGCTCCATCAATTTTTACTCAGACATTCTTTTCGCTTGAAATAAAATTCGATGGTACTGATAAGAGATAAATATTTTTTTACGCGGGACAGGTGCGATGATTCAATTTTATTTTGATACTGTTTTTAATATGAAAAATGTCCATCAATCAAATCTAATATCATGGAGAAATAATTATTCCCTCATTAAAAATTATGGTTGTTTAAATTATGTGAATTCCAGGGAATTATAAGTTGAGATTGAGTTATCGAAATGGTTTCATGGACTCGATTAATTTTGAGTTCATTTTCGGATGTGGAAATTGGATGAAACCCGAGGAAAAGCGAAACGGTCAGATGAGAGTAATTTGCGCGGCTTCTATTGATCTATGAAATCCTGCGTTGAGGAACTTTTCCGCCGTTGAGTCCCGATTTTTATTCATTTCCATTTCTACTATGAAAATGAATAAAAATTACTCCAAATGTAATGATAATGATTCCCTTCAAGAATATTCATAAAAAAAAATCGATGATCAGGAAAACATAGAGTATCAAGTGATTCCTCTCATTCTTGATGCAATCGGAGGAGAATATCCCATTTCATCTTCCTGGGGACTGCAACCCTCATACCTGAACCTGATAAAAAGAGATAACAGTACAGAAATATTAATGGATATTAAATAATTAAAGTGAAATACCCAGAACAGTACGCACTCTTGGTGAAATTCCCTGCCCCGAGAGTTCCCCAAAACCTGAAATTCTCCGGATCCACAGGAGTCTCCAGATTCAGAGTTCCTGGACGCCAGATGATGACTGTTTGAAATTTTTGGAATACTTCCAAAGAATTCCAGTTAACAGCATAAATTACACAAGTGCTGCCGTCTGCCCAGTTTTGGAATAATCATCAGAGCCGACCTCTTAACCGACTGCCTCCGTCGGTCTACATTGTCTATATACAAATAGACAGAAACTGGCATATGCACTAGGTAGAAGACAGGTGAATGCTGAAAGTCCCCAGTAATTTGATAGCCCCTCTAAAACCGCCACCGAATAATCAAGCAACATCAATTTGAGTGATGAAAACATATCAATAACACACACGGATCAATAATGAAGCCAGTACTCCTTTAACAGGAAAGAAACCTTAGGGATAATACCATTCCTCGAGTGTTGCCGAACATCCCCGAATGGAGTTGAAAACGTTCGATGCCAGTGTTACAGCGATAGCGGACAGTGAAGGTGCATTGGTAGAGGGAGAATTTCACCAACTGGAAGTTATATTAAATATCAGCCAAAGGAGTGGGGAAAATATGACACACACATTTTCACAGCGAGAGATCGAGTGAACTGACAGGACTGACAGAACTGACAGTCAGTGTTGACTCGACTGCCACTGCCAGTCGATTAAATTCCGAAGTACGAGCACAGTGTAATTTCGACTGATCAAGCACTCTGTGATTTTCAAGTGACAAGTGAATCAGTGACAAGTGTCAGACCCACAGGACTCGTCTGACAGAAAAAAAATATATCCCATTGAGTGTGAAACCTCGACCCGTCATTTCTCTTATTGATTACTGAAGGATAACGAGAAATGTCAAATTAGATGGTGAAAGGATGCTAGATCAGGTGGAGGAGTTTGAAGGTTTTTGGTGGAGAGACATGATGGATTTCGTTGAAATGCAGTGGCATCGTTTCACATCCTCATTGTCATTAATTTGATCAGCAGAGTTTAATGATTGATGTCATAATGAAGGAGTTGGAGCACAGTGAAGCACCGGGCACCCGGACGCTAAAGTCTCTCCTGAAAAAACCTGGACAGGGAAAGCAGCGCACGCACAAGAATCGCGTTGTGATTAATGAAAAATTAAATGAATTTTTTGCTGCTGATTACATAATTCTCATCAAGGAGGAGTGCTGCGCTGACTATGAGGAGGAGTGTGATTGTTGTTGTCAGGAGACGGAAATGATAAGAGTTGGTAATTGCAAGGAGTGCAGAGCTGAATTGTCTAGGCACATAGCAAGTGGAATCGATTCTTGTTACGGTATTGACAGTCATGGAAAAATTGATATCGGCGATGATATTGGTACTGGTAAAATTATCGATACCAAGGAGTCGCGGTTTGACGACGAGGATGAGGAAGAGGAGTATGAGGACGAAGTGGATGATTATGATGAAGAGGCTGAGTCCTCTGAAGAACCCGATGTGAGGGAGTGTAGTGATAAGAATTCTAGTTATTCTCAACATCAGCAACAGGAAACACTTAGTCCACCTGAGGGGTACAAGGACGTTTGTGATGATGAAACCCAGTGTGAAGTGTTCGAGGATGAGCGATTGTGTCCAGGTAATGTCTGCGGGGAATGCAATTTCTATCAGGAGAACACGCCAGGTGAATTTATTAAATTAAACTGTTATTACAGTACTCCATTAATTCATAGGAATTTTTTAAAATATCTAAATTACTTTTTTCCTATCACAGTAATTAGTAAACTGAAGAATTTCAAGAATGTAAAGTATTCATCAAAATAATTGCATTAATTAATAATTCGTTATCTGAAATTTTTATGAGGAATCATATATTGTCACTTGAATTCTCCGAGTTGCTCTCGTAATCGGCGAGACAATTGCGTTTCGTAATTTCTGCACAGTATTTCTCTCCGTAACGAATTGCCCAACGCCAACAGGATATACGTTTTTTTCTTCTCACATGACGTATATATCACAGAAAAAGGATTTAATGGAAAAAGACTTCCCCTGGAGCTTGAATAGATCATTATAAAAATTGATTCCACGGACAGATCGTTTGCCATTACGACGAAGACGGAAGGGATTTTATTTTTTGCACAAAGCAGAGATATTATTCCAGGTTGAGAATATTCAAGACATGATATGAAAAAAATTAGAGGTAAATTCGAGCTGGAGGGGATCGTGGGAATTCATGGTCACGGTCGTTGCATGTCGAGTTCATGAGTGTCTCATTGAAAACAATAGGATCATAAGATGATTCTGGAATTTCAGGGTTAATTATTTTCTCAGCTTTCTCCTTTTCGCATGATTTTTCAAAGACAAAATAGCGATGCAATTTTCAAAATTGACGTGCATTGTGAGTAGTTGGTTCTTGTTACTTTTTTTTCCTCGATTCCTGGCGTTACAGCTTGGAAGTAATTTTTTGAAAAATTGTGAGAAGGAGATAGGGATGGTCTAACCACTGAATTCCGGTCTAGAAGGGTGCGGGCAGCCGGAAACATAGAGAAGACCGGAGTCACGCTACGGTGCAGGTCATCCGGCTGGTGTTTCACATCGTCATCGCCGTGCACATATTTGACAACACAGATAACCAAATATTATAATAAAATCCCCCCACTAGGACGACGTTTGAAACACCAATTCCCCTATTCGAAAAACTCCACCAAGACCTTGTAATTCCCACCGCGAGAAATAATTCCCTCCGCCAACAAATTGGCTTGAGACAAAAAAATCAAGTGAGAGGTTTTAGTTGTTCAAGTAACATTTACCTCGCAGCAATAATGGTTTTTCTCATTGCAGGTGATTTCGAAATCTAGACCGTACAACTTGAAAAAATCGGGAAAGCGCTGCAAATTTTTAATGATTTTATAAATATAGATTGAAAATTAGGTTTTTCGGGTTAATTAATAGTCGAACAAAATTTCAAACTGGTTCAACCCATGCGCGGTGAAAGTAGGCCATTGAATGGTTGCTCCATTCAGCGAGGCATTCCCATTGAGGGATAGATATACTCTCACATAAAAATCCACCTATCTATCGGGAAAAAGTCAGAAAAAGCGACGCCAAATGGTTGGTTCTCACTAAACACATTAAGATTTTTTTTTTGCTCCAGATGGTGAAGTACAGAATCCTGTACCACCGGGAGAAGAAAGCCAGCCACAAGTAAAAACCGTAGAAAATGATGTTGTACCGACTAGCGATGAAGCATTACAAACAGCCTCAGGTATTTAGATTAATAATTTTCATTTGAAAGTCTCTCCGTTCAACTAAATCCTTAATTTCCCAAATTTTGCATGCCATTCCTTGCAGATCTTCACCAGCACTACCTCGTGGAGACGATAACAATGACAACCGTAACAGAGCGCCGAATAGTCCGTGAAATAAGCGAAGAGGACTCCCGGTGTCCTTCGATCGATCAACCCGAGACAACTGGATTTTTTGAATCTCAAGGTCTATCAAGATCGAGCCAAGAAACCAAAGAGGAAGACACTCCGACAAAACCCCACGAAATCACCAAGGACACTCCAAATCCAACAGACCATTCCCTCACATTTAAAATGGGAAACGTATCCCTCGTAACCAACAGCCTGAAACCAAATTCCGCTGTACGCCAACTGTTCCCAGATCCCCGATTTATCTCGCCTCCACCAGTTCCTGCCAAATCCGTATGCCTATCCGGAGAGGAAGGAACTGACAGCGACAGCTCCGAGGCACAAAAATTCCTAATAACCACCGAGAGCCTTCGGCTATTCAATTCTGTGAAACGCTCAAAGATCACAAGCTCGAGGAGTGAATCCTCCGAGAGCGATTCACCAAGTCTGCGACGTACAATCGAGCGAAATGCATTACGCAGAAGTCTCATCTGCAAGTACGACATAACATCGAAGAAGAAGAACTTGAAAAACAAAGATTTGAGTCTCGAGGAACGAATTCGCCAGCTGACATGCGTCGATCAGGACAACGATAACACAACTGACAGTGCATCTGAGTCCCAAACATCTGGATATCAGAATAGTCCAGAGTACAATCGAACATCACCCTCCAGGGAGGAGCGGGTGGAGCGCTCCATGAACAATTGTCCAGATCAATCTCCACCACTTGCCCATTATCATCATCATCATCAGTCAGCTTATCGAAAAATTACAGAGTTATTTGGCCAGAAGAAAAATGATACAATGCCGGACCTGGGAATCGGTGACAAGGCCACAGCCATGAACGATTTCAATAAGACAAATCTATCAAAGATTAATACAGACTCTAGAAAACAATTTCTGTCGTCATTGGCTCCACTATCCTGTGTTGCATCAACAGGAATGGATAATAGAGACGATTATTATCAGATATCATCGAAGGTTAAAAGGGATTCGATTGGGTACAACTCAGATTCGTCTTACAGCCTGGAGGATATCGAAGCAGCTTTAAAAGGGGATGAGAGAAATTCAAAAAAGAATGCAGCACCTCCAGATGTTACCAGAGGTACACCAACGGGATCAGGTCCAGATTCGGACGCAACGGCCGATGAACTCCTGGCCTTTGTCGAGCAAGACAAAACACGTACGGAGAGACTGAAACGTAAATACGACACCGAAGATCACCCGGAGAATTCCAAGAATGGGGACAACAATGGAGCAATAGATGATGAGGACGACGAACTAAATGATTATGGATTCAACACGAGACCCGCTGTGCGTGGGATTAAGCCTCAGTTCCAATCTACCAGTGAAATAGTCAGGCAATTGCGCTCTCGGGCTGTTCCAGTATCTCTGAATAATAAATCTCAACTACTCGTCGCCCCCTGGCCCCACCATGACCGTCAAAATCCCGAAAAATCGACGGTTTTTACCGCGTCCGAGGAATCAACGGAGGACCGAGACAGTACCATAAAACGCATTAACACAATGCAACGACAAATCGATGACATTTACCAGACTATTGCTGAGACTGCAGTATCAGTGCAGGGAAAAATTGATTGCAGTTCTTATTTAGATAATACATTACCCAGAACAATTCCAAGGGTAGTCCACTGCCGGTACAATCAGAAAAAGGAGCACTACCACGATCATCGAAGTGGTGTTGAAGGTGCTGTGCCTGGTGACAATAGAAGACCAGTGTCCATCACGAGTTATCCTTGCAATGTTATTCCAGTGGAGAACAAGTGTTATAAAACGATGTACTTTGTTCCATACAATGGAATAACTGATCCAACATACCAAAACATCCAAAGAATTCTACCACCCCATTCGTCGGCTAATTATGCAAATCACATTGAGCGATATCCATTTCACAGAAATCGTTCGGATCCAGAGCAATTTGCCCAGCCTGTACCCCAGCTGGGACAACAGCCTCCACGATTTTATAGCCAGACTCCAGTCTCTGGAATCCCACCACTTCATCCTCAACCTAGTCACAATCTCCATTCGAATCTACCTGACGACTTGAGAAATAGGGCACCAGGTATTAGTATGCAGACAGTGCAACTGCATCATCAGCACATATCCCAATATGCAACGTATGACGTGCAATCGGTTCCTGGATATACTGTGATGACACCTTCCTGGGGTGATGGCTACGCGTATTCAGGACATATTGGTAAACCAGCATCTGATGTACAGACACAAACTGTTTCCATGACACCGATGAACACTAGTATTATTATCACTGGGTTCAACACACATGTGGGTAATGCGTCGTCTTCATCATCGACATCATCGGTTCTCTCGTCGCCCACTAAAATCCAGGGTCAGAGAATTTGCACTGCTGAGAGAGGTGTACCAGAAGGGGCTGCTAGTGCTGGAGCTAATGATTTAGGGACAAATGTCAGTGGTAATCTTGTGGATAGTTTGACAGGACAACCTAATAATGTGCCTCCACCAAATACTCAAAATTCACTCTATTATGCTATGAATGTTTAATGATTTTATGAGGATTTATCGATGAATGGGCAGTGAGTGGATTTCGTAAGGGCCATATAGCTATCGCTAGCCTTTTAGTGTTTTTGAGAGGATCTAGTTATTCATGGATACGTTTCCTGTTTGATACCATATGAGATCATATAGAAATGTGGGTTGAGAGTTCTTTTAATCGGAGGACTAGAGTCGATGTGAATTGTAGATTAATTTTATTCTGTTTGTGTTTTTGTTTTATTTTCATTTCACCAAAACACATGTGGTACGAGTGCCAGAAAACTTCCACTTTCCACATTCAACCAAATCACTATTTATTTTTTCGTATTCATTTTAATGTATTCGTTCTTGTGGTTAACAAGTGAAACCAAAAAACACCTTTCTTCCGTTGGGTTATTTACCCTCAGGTGAACAATATTTTTAACGTAAACCTGTGCCAGTAAGAAAAGATTATTTATCGTGTATGCGAGGTCGTTTATAAAAATAAGCGATTATTATAAGGGATTATATAGAAAAATATATTACAAAGATCATACCGTAATACGTCAAGTGTGAATAAGTATAAATATAATTGATAAAAGTGTTATAGTTGTCCTTCCATTGCTCCAGGCGAAGATAATAATCAGTATATTCAATTGAACACGTCAAGTACTGAGTCCGTGTACTTTTTGGGGGCTGGAAGCTTTGAATTATTGGGAGGCATTTGAAAATGCGCGGTATATTGTTGTATGGACTAAGCTCTTCATCAAATAAATGCAACAAATTCCTCGCTTTCGGTTGTTTTACAAATACGTTAACATTTGATTATTTTTAATTATACCAATTCCGTCAATAGTAAATTGTTGAATTTATATGCATTTTTGTGATTTTAAATTCGGTACGCCTGTTTTATTTGGTAATTGTTATTTATTTAGATTGAACAAGAATTAGCCTGAGGATTGCGTTTGACATTCGAAATCTGCAAGGAGTTTTAGAATAAATTTAAATTTATCTTTCCATGATATTTCGTTATTGCATCAGGAAAGTGTTTTATATTGTTTTAATTATCGAATGGACAACAGAGTAATAAGAAATTAATTTTCGATAATGGAATATATAGCAATAAATTATCTTATTCTGTGTATAAATAATTGCATGACAAAACAATCAGTCGTTACGCAATTTTCGTTCTAGTCAAGCGAGTCGTGAGATTTTCTTTTACAGAAATTTTTTTATAAACAGATCAAAAAGTGCAATAATTTTCACAAAATTCGGGAATCATGCGTAAAATCGAAATTTAACAAGAAATTTATTAATCATTAATTGACGACTGATTGATTTGACATGGAATATCTCGTATATAAAATACACGATTAATTGTAAAGTTGTGCATTTTGTTTTGTGGCAAAATTGAAGTTCATTTGGAGCTTGGCTATTTGGTGATTTAATTATTAAAAGAACGTTGCCAAAATTTGGATGAAGCATTGTCAGATTTATCTAATGACTAAACCCAATTTAGCACAAACTATAGGGTAATTTGAATCTCCGAAACATATAAACATGTATCAAGATGTTCGTACAGTTTTAATACCGCTCTTGGGAAATGTAATAGAAAATGTTTATTGTCCGTGATGTTCAAGCGGGTCGTAGGTAAAATTTATAAATCACTTTTCTCCCCCAAAGATCGTAGATCAGCCCCTGAATCCGGGATGACGAAACAATTTTTTTGTTTTTCTATTTTTCCCGGGGTTGAGGATTTATCAAGCGTTAAATAACGCAAAAATTCCAACCGTTATTCACATATTAGCCTGATAAAAAACCAAGTCATACCTGAGGTATTTTACCAAGCGAAAATCGATGAGGGTATTTGTCCCTGATCCTCGAACCGTATATTAGTCCTCTATCGGCCTATTTGGATTCAGGTTATTGTATAGAATATTGAATAAGATAATCATTAAGAAATTAGGTGTCGACATCGTATTACAATACGCGACCGTTTAGTAATCCAAAACGAGACAGGATTTCGATAAAAATAGGACCACGGTGGACCCTTTGGTTCACAATCGACTGAGTTAATTTTAATTGATTTTATAATTTATTCCTGTATAGAAAATGGTTATTCTTTAATTTCGCAATAAATTAAGTATCTTTAATTGTTTTGATTGAGTTAATATTACAATAGACTCCCGTTATAGTCGCGTGCGTTAAACAAATTAGAGAAATTTTTGTTGAAAACTGAATGAGGGGCCCTGTCCACATGTTCATCACAAGAATTCAAGTTCCGAGGATATAATATTGTCTTTTCTGAATCAGAAAAGGGTGAGAACAATAAAGCCTTGCAAAGAGACAGAATGCATTTTGTATTTTTTAATGACCGATTTATTAGAAAATTCACATTAGCAACTTATGATTAAAAATGCCTTATTCATTTATTAAATATTTCGAAGTGATTGGAAAACCAACTTCAGGTATAATATTTTTTTTTGTTTTTAAAACCATTTCGCTCTTCATTCAACGCTTTTTTCTGCATTATTTTTATGCATTCCTTCGTTTTATGCAAATCGTTGAAATTATTTCAATAATAATTCATAGCGTGTTTGAGTGTGAATACGGTATACCGTACGTAAAAATTTTCCACGTCAATTTTGTTATTCCGTGAAATGCAAAAACAACTGAATCCTTTCAGTTTTTTAATTTTTGGAGGAACTTCCGACTTTTTTGTGATTTTAATTATCGCCCCAAAGGTTTGCATTGCCTTTTCACCGCAATATAATTGTTAACTACCCATTAAACGGTCGAACATGATTTTCGAATGATATAAACTTGAGGATTGAATAGACGGTGACAAGTGCTACGAGAGATGAGGGAAGGGATTTTTGTTTTTTTTTTCAATTTTCGACACCTCCACAAATAATCATAAAAAAATTATAAATTTATCTCGTTTCAGGAACAAAAAAGAAATATTGGAATTAATTTTTTTTTCAACCGACACGTGCATGTTGAGGTGGATATGGCACAATCTCTCAAATACACATGATTCCTAAAAATTCCTCACACAGACGAGAGACGATGAAGAAAATTCTTCACCTTTTGTGAAAATTCATACTCACGATTCAAATGTGGAAAAAAATTTAATTGAAGTTTTTATCGGAAGCTTTAAAAAAATTGCCACTGCTTATAAAAAATTGCTTGAATTAATTTTTTGCCTCCATCATGATAAGACGCATCGCAATCTTCGTGTAGATTATTTCTTCTTTTTCCACCGTACGATCGTTTTCTCCAATTACTTAGTCAATTCGTAATTTGCAATGCATCGTTGAGACTTACTGTGTTTTGGGCGGGTATACACAAACCAATTGTTTTTTAATGCAATTTTTTAGAATAATTATCGGAGTTCAACAGGTGTCTAGAAAACCCTCTACAAGACGACGCATTTCCTTCTTCTGACGACTTCTGGGGGCTCCAGTGCTGCCAATATTGCCTCGTCGAATACATTTTTCAACCCTTTCTGTAATCAAACGAAGGGAAACCAAAAAAACATTGAAATTTTCTCATTTACATTTTAGTAAACTTACAATGTAGCATTTTTGTAGATTAGGTTGCAATTTGTATAATCGCAAATGAAAAATTGTACCAAAAATTTTTTAAATATTGTCTGATGAATTAATAAGCGTTCCTTTCCATCTTCTTCTTTCCGTGATCTCTTTAATATATTCTTGAGAATTTTTATAATACCCCATGATATCACAGAGCACCAATTACACTTCCCAAAAATATATGTCAAGAGAAAATTTACGTAGGGACAAAGAAATTATATAAAGTGACTTGTGAATTTTTTTTTTAATTTCTCACCTGTGTTAAAGCACTGCATTCTACATATTTGACAGCTTTAAGTTCTCTAGCAAGCTTCTCCCCCTGCTCTCCAGTTATTGGCTTCTGTTTATTTTTCGCTAATTTTTCAATCGTTGCGGCGTCATCTCGCAAATCAATTTGCGTCCCAACGAGTAAAAATGGAGTTTTTTGACAATGATGAGTTATTTCTGGCACCCACTGCGGAGAACAAAATAAACATTGACCTTCATACTCTCTCAATAAACCAAATAAAAATTAGTGGAATGTTTTGATGTTTTCATTCGAACCTTTTCTTTCACGTTTTCAAACGATGAAGGTGAGACGACGGAGAAACAGACGAGAAATACGTCTGTTTGTGGATAACTCAGAGGTCTGAGCCTGTCATAATCTTCCTGACCTGTTAATAAAATAATTAAAGTAACGAGCATCGAGTGATTTACCAAAATAATTTGGGAATGGCGAGACGGAGATAAGAAATTGATTACGAAATTCCAGATCACCTTACAAATATTTTCAATCAAGATTTTTTCGTATCTGTGATCATCTCATTAATTCAATAAATTAATTAATTTCAATTTGTCATTGAAAAATTCGATTTCCTTTTCATTGAATCATATCCCGATTAAAACATATTGCTTCGAATGAATTCGTCCGAAAAGGTTAGAGCAGTGGCTCTCAACGCACTTATCTCACCCCTTCAATTTATTACTTCAATGAGAGTTTCGCTCATTCTCATTCCATCACTAAAAATCAACAAGAATTATGTGTATCCCAGTTTTATTTTTTATTTCTTCATATTTATTTATCAGTCTCACGAAGAGCTTTATAAATTTTCCCTCACAATCGTTCCTCACATGTATTCATTTATTAATAGCCAATGCTTCACGTGATTTTCATTCATGATAATTTACGATTAAAAATGTATGTACGCCGAACCCGAGACGTATGGGATGATCTTGTACAGGAGGGTTAATTGTTTTCAGGAGATAAGACGATGTAATGAATTATTAAAAATCTTACCAGCTGTGTCGAAGAGTCCTAATGTATACGGTTCACCCCCGATCATAACAGTGACAGCATAATTATCGAAAACAGTGGGTACATACTCCGATGGAAACTTATTAGTTGTATAAGAGATGAGTAGACATGTTTTACCCACAGCACCATCCCCAACCACCACGCACTTTATCGTTTGCATTCTCTCGTATTAAAAAATGCCTAACGTGATAAGGTATCTGTCAAATGACAATTAACAATAATTAGAACAATATCCAAAAAAGATCCAGCCATCGAGCCCAATCAATACCAAACAATCAATAACATATGTGATCAGAAATTGAGTTGCAAGTACTAAAACTTGAAAATTTATAACAAACAACAATAAGTCGCCAAAAGTGAATTGTTGGTAAAAATGTTAATTGATTTAACAAATGGTAAGCCGAATTCCCAAAGTTTATGAGTGACCCAACCTGACCATCGCATCATTAAGGAATAACCAAGACCTAGGTGTCCATTAATATCCCAATTAACAATTCCCATTATCAATATGCCCAAGATCATAATAATTTTTTCGACGAAGCCATTTTATCCTGACATTCGACAGAGAGAGAGAGAAAACTTTTACCTGATTGTATTTAAATTTAATGGGCGACTGATTTTTTTCTTACGCTTCACAACTCTGAGTGTTCATTCAGTGGGCATCAAGGCTAATTGTATCGAGGATAAATTCACAATAGTTGAATCAGAATACATATCACTCTGATTGTTAACGTATGTGGAAGTTATAATAATTGATTTGTTAACAAAAGAATGCCAATGCAACTCACGAGAATAACTGGGCGTCGACAACACCACACTATGCTGTCACAAAAAGTTTCAATTATTGTTGATAGGGATACGAGACAAGTCTTCTAGTTTATTCTATCGTTATTTGTAAATGAGCATCCTCATGAGAAGTTAGTGCAGTTGATGATCATTCAGATGTCTGTATGATCATGACTCGTACGTAAGGTATGATACAAGCAGGTATTGTCAAGCCAAAAACAGGGAACAAGTTCTCTCAGGCGGCATGAGACAGCGCGACGGTCACTATCACCTTCCCCTCATCACCATGCCATCCCCACTCTGCAGCTGTTCGGCACTGGTGGGACCATTTAAAAAATGATAATGTAAAATAGCAGGAACAAATGTAAAATATGGCCTTGGCTTATGGGATGTGTGGTATCTACATGACCTCAAAGTTTCAAAAATAGAATAAACTATAGAAGCATTACCCGGTCTCCAAAAATCAGGCAATAACAATAAATAAATTGATTCCTCTTATTTTTTATTTTCTCTCGTATACCCTTTCGGGTCTTTACGGTTAGTTGGTTCCCTTCCCACCCCCCCAACCCCCTGTACCGCATTTGCTTGAAGGGAGGGAAAAACCTCATCTGAGGGAAAAAACCTGCCCAGG